TCTTTCCCTTTTGCTGTGGCACAAACTCTCCATGTTCTCACCAGCTTTCCAGACCAGCCTGAAGGCCCATCCCAAGAAATGCTCCCAGCTCATCCAAGAATGGGTGCATCCTCTCCCCGTAGACCTCATGTCACTGTGTCAGGCTACACGAATCACTCCCAGCTTGAAGCCCGGCCATCCTGCAGAAGGCATGCCGTGGTAGTAAGGCTGACACAAACAAGTCTGTATCCAGTGGTCTCCTATGTGTCTGCTGCATGGGAGCAAATCCATCCATGAAAGTATGATGTGCATGGAGCTCAGTGGCTCCCTACTGTTATAACACTGTTTTTCAAAATACAACTTTGTGTTAATTCATCTCACAGCTTAAAGCTTTTTCTCTTGTGTTAAGGCAATGGCAAGAAAAATGCAGTATAATTCTTGTATTATTCCTCAGATATGATATCAAGAATTGCATTTAGGTATGCAATAGAAAAGAACTTAGAAATAAGGCTGAAAATTTGCAGCATAATTCAGTGTCTCTCTCTGTGTCATGTTTTAACCCCAGCCAGCAGCTCAGCCCCACACAGCCACTTGCTTACTCTCCTCCGGTGGGATGGGGGAGAGAATTGGAAGGGTAAAAGGGAGAAAACACGTGGGTTGAGATAAAGACATTTTAATAAGTAAAGCAAAAGCCGTGCACACAAGCAAAGCAAGACAAGGAATTCATTCCCCACTTTCCATGGGCAGGCAGGTGTTCAGCCATCTCCAGGAAAGCAGGGCTCCATCACACGTAACAGCTACTCAGGAGACGAATGGCATCACTCCAAACGTCCCCCCCTTCCTTCCTCCTCCCCCAGCCTATTATATGCTGAGCATGATATCACATGGTATGCGATAACCCTTGGGTCAGTTGGGGTCAGCTGTCCCAGCTGTGTCCCCTCCCAACTCCTTGTGCACCCCCAGCCCACTCGCTGGTGGGGTGGGGTGAGAAGCAGCAAAGGCCTTGGCTCTGTGTGAGCACTGCTCAGCAGTAACGAAAACATCCCTGTGTTAGCAACGCTGTTTGCAGCACAAACCCAAAACACAGCCCCGTACTAGCTACTATGGAGAAAATTAACTCTATCCCAGCCAAAACGAGCACACACTGCTACATTTTCAGCTCACCACAACACTCGCACACACACTTACATGCAGGTGGAGATGCACTCCCTACACAAAATGAAGTGGCACCCTTCCCTGCACTCCAGGTATCCCCCAAGTATCCCACTGCTTGGGGGCCCTTGGGTCATGCAGGCACCCCTCAGGGTTTTAGGGCTGGGCAGGTGGCAGCCGCAGGCAGCAGCAGGGAACACAGGTGACTCCTGCACCATGGCAGGGAGACGACAGCTCTCAGGACTGCCCCTGAGGAAGGCACCAGAGCACTGCAAAAGGGGGAAAAAATAACACCCACCTGCATGTAAAAAGAGAATTTTGGATTAGCCAGCCCTGGTTTAGTACCCTGAAAAGTACTGAGTCCAGTGATTGTGCAGTTAACTTACCAGCATAGAAGAGAAAATAAAAGAGTTAAAGCAAATAGTCAGCATAGTCCCTGTTCTCTACTGGAAGAGAAGAAGTTATATCAAGGTAATAATAGTTCTCTGCTCTGACAGACAACAGATGAAACACCACCACAAAAACTTTTCAATATTTCACCACGTGACAGTCTCCCTGGCAAATTAAGGAACGATGAGTTAGACAAGAATCAGAAAAAGCACATAATTACTTACAAAACATGTTCCATGGTTCTCAGTCAAGAAGAGGGGCCATTTTAAATGATAGCTCATCTCAGTCTTGCTGTATGACATATGATCTGGATGTGGGGAGAGAAAACCTATCTATTAACAGGTTTGTGGTCATTGCCAAGCTGGGAGCCCTTTGAAGGATTACAATTTCAAATGATCATAAAAAGTTGGAAAAATTGTATCAGTGCTATGAACTTCATCCCAGACAAATTAAAATGCATTAATTAGGGCCACCTTAGAACCAGATGTACAAAGACAAAAAGGGGAACGGCTGAGCAAGTAGTGGTGCTACTAGAAAGGTCACAACTGGAATATGGGTCAGTGTTGGCTAATGTTTCCAGAAAGAAGATGTGTATCAGCAAGGTACAGCATCTAAGATGCAGATGGTGATTGCACTACTGATCATTGCCAAGGTTTCGGTTATGATCAGATGTGGACACCATCACTGAGGAAGCACAAAATGTGGTGAGTCTGGATGGCACCAAGAAGAGTAACATGCAATTTAGGGAATGTGACCTCTGGCGAAGGGTTGAGTGAATGTTGTTGGCTTTCCCTTGAAAAAAAAAAAAAAATTGTTAGAGAATTGCACATGGACGACAGAGATCACTTGTCCCTGGTTCACAGAACATGGTTATCAGAAGTTATTGAAGCAAGGTGCTCCTTCAAGGTCCCTGGTTTCTGGCTCTGCTTGCTGGGGATGCCTGTTGGTGGTGACCCTGCTGAGGCCGTGCTGTGTTCAGCCTGTCGCAGATGGGAGGGCTGGAGGTCCTTTTTGGGGGTTTGGCAATGAAGAAGCTGATTGCTGCTGCTCCCATGTAGACACACAGTGGTTTTGGAGAAGCTCTGCTGAGAATTGGAAACCAACCCCATGGATGTGGCTACAGAGTTGTGTCTCAAAAAGCCCCTTACAGAAACAAACAAACTGGAAACAAAACAAGCCAAGTGATCCTGAGCAGAAATACGCTAATTTAAAAAGTACTAAGGTATTGTCTGATCGATAACACTCAACCCAAGCTGCATTTCCAGAACTAATTCATGCATTGATTTTCCCATTGATTTGCAGTAAGTGCTAGGTTCCTAGCTAGATTAGCAAAAGTATTTAGATATTAAGTTGGAGTCATCCTAGTAGTCTTAGTCACCTTAGTACTTAAATCCAGTTGATTTATAGTTCAGATTAGTTCTCTACGCAAAATGCTGTGATCCCACGAAGTCTCTTGCTACTTTTTGATAGTTCAGTGAACACATTTAAAAATCAGGTTTTATATGCCCCGATTTGCTTTGAAAATGAGGTGTATTGTCCAAATCTCTCAGGCTTTGCAGAGCCTTTTAAAACACGGGCCTGAACACCCAACCAGGTACCCTATGTCAGGCTGACTGGGATTTCTTCCTGCCTGGGAGTTAAGGTTTGTGGCTTGGAGTTTCAGTGAAGTTTCTAAATATTTTTACAGCTTATCGCCAACCTGTTAAAGGATTCACAGATTCTGAGCTACCAAAGACACGGGCAGGCTATAGATAAAGTGTCCAGCTGTATCATTGACAGCACATTTGGGAAACATTAACCAAAAGTAAAAGCCTTTTATAAGAAGGCCATAAAATGGCAGGAGTAATTATGTTTTTCCAAAGTTAATCATTGACATTTGTTTATTTGGCTTTTTATAAAAAACTTTTTCCTTTCTCTCCTACAATGGATAAAACCTATAAAAGGCCCGGCAAAGTGGATTCAGCCTTTTTTCTTCACGCTAGCCATGCTTGAAGGCTGATGAGACGGAGCCTGAGAAGCTTACCTGAGGAAACCTACTTTGTTGGGAGGTTCTCAGCCCGGACACGAATATGTTGGTCCACGTCTGGCTTCTCTGTGGTCTGAGTGCTGTCGTGACCCCTCAGGATGTCACACAACAAGCCCAGATGTTCCTAGAAGATTTTAACAGGAGGGCAGAAGATATCAGCTATGAGAGCTCACTTGCCTCTTGGAACTACAACACCAACATCACCGAGGAGACTGCCAGGAAAATGGTAAGTGCTCCATCCTGTGGGTTTTACTGTTGTTTTAGGAATCTGACAGCTGCTTTCGGGTTTATTTTAATTCCACCAAGGTTCGCTGAAATTTGGGTGCTACTTCTTTGGTAGCTGTGGTTTAGTTTCAGGAGGGTGGAGGGGCTTGTTTTCATGTAGCAATGCCTCACTGGAGATGCCTGGGCCACTGCCAGCCTCTACAGCCTAGGGTTGGTGCCTGGGCTGCCCTCGCACTGCTTGGGGATGGCCAGAGGCTGGACTTGTCCCCAGCCATCACCTCGAGTCCCCCTGCTGAGCGGAGGAAAAAGGCGAGGGAGCGCTGCATGTTCAGACCCAAAACCTGAGCTGGATGGTGAGAGACACCTGCTTCTGCTTGGGGTCCACCACCGCCAGTACCTCATGGCGCGGCGTTTCTGTGCAGGGCTCCTTTCCTCCCGGAGGGGAGGGTCTTCTCCCAGGGCCCGGGCTAGGTGCTGCCCACCCTGTGGCGTGAGGGAACGGGATTCGAATCTTGGGCCCACGTGAGTGTGAGATCTCACGCTTTTTGTAAGACTGAACTAACACTGGACTTTTTACTGACACGGACAACGCTCCTTCTTCTCTGTTGCTGAAATTGTTTACTTCTCACTGAATATGCAAACAGTTTCTGAATGTAAGCATTCTATTAAATGTTTGCTGATGGTTTTATATAGTGGTCCACACCCTTTAGACAGTGGGGACCTTCCCCGCCCCCCGCTCTCCCCATCACTCTTCTCATAGTCAGGGCTGTTGGTAGACTGTCTGGAGGTATCAAACTGGGAAAAATGAAGTGAGATCATGGATTTCCAAATGCCAGCAGTGGAGTTTGTAGTATGTTGGTTTGAAAGTCAATTTCTATCTGCAGGAAGGACCACAGCATTTGTATTTACGCTGTCTTGCAACACAATTCCTGCTTCTCAACACCAACCTCTAGCTGTCCCAGCCAACAGGGTCTCTAGGCAAGTACCATGTTTATCAAGAGCAGTCAGCCATGATCTGGCTGGTTACTGATACTGCCATGCCTCAGCCTAGCATCTCGTAACCTTGGAGCCTTTCAAAATGAACAGAAACACCTTGAATTTTGTAGCTGTGTGTATTTTAAAGTTAACCCGAGCTTTAGAGAAAAACAATTCGGAGCATAAAAATGAAGCTGAACATCCTACATCTACTTTTGCTTAATGGTTTAAGTCTTCCATTTTGTGGTCTTATAGCTTAATTAAAACATGGCTTAATTACCGTATTTCTTAATTAAAGCAAGGAGACTGGTTGCTGGAAGATATCCTAATGACTAATCATTCTCAATATCTGGAATGTTTTCCGAGGCACCAGGTACTTAAACTGTAATGTTTCCAAACATGTAAAATGAAAGCCCCATATAGTACTTTCAGCATTAATGAGATGATAATAAAATACATGAGGAGATACCAGCAATAAGAACCAATTAGTCCAGTGCTCAGAGAGAATGTTTTCTCTCACTCGATCTCTTCAGTAGCATTGGTAATAAACCCACTGCTTCCCCTCCTCCCTTTCTGCTGGCGGAGCAGAGTTAATGAATATTGTCCCTTCTGGCTCCTTCCCATCCATTTTCCTTCTAAATTGGCCCACAAAGCCCATAACTATTCCTCTGACTTATCAACCAGTTCCTCTAATTGGGAAAAAATCAGACAGCAAGCGAACTTCTTTCCCCTAGCCTTTGTAGCCAAAGACCCCCCTCTTCTGCCCCGCCGCTCCTAAGGCACCTCTCCATGCCTGCTCAGGACAAGGAGTTCAGAAACAGATTTACAGAGTGATGCTCTTCCTCTGGGTGCTTATCGTGCTCTTGCCCATGGAGCTTTACAAGCTGCTGGGCAGTGATAGGCTGTTTGCTCTGTGCCCATGAAAGGGACAGTTTGGAAAGATTCTTCGTGATGAGGGGCCACATGGGCAGGGGGAGATGCAGGGATGGGTCTGCCAAAGGCTTCCATCTGCCACCGCCTCGCTCCACCAGAGCCTAAGAGGGTACGGCAGGTCCATCGCAACCTGGGCACAGCCCTGGCAAATGCGTTGGCCTCACTGGGGTGAAGCGTGCCTGAAAGAGCAATTCAGGCACCATATGACATTTGTGTTTCCTGATGCCTCAGCGAGGAGGGATGGGTGTTACAACCTGGGAAGCTCTGGCGTGAGCACAATTAATTAAACTGCCCCAAGGACCCAGGTTAATTAGTACTGTTCCTGTTGCTATTTGGGATGGGTGCTGATGTGCTAAACTATGTACAAACACAATAAAAAAGGTGAGTAAAAGACAGTCCCAAATCCAAATAATTTTCTTATGGTGCTACTTTGTGCACTGAAATTTGGGAGTTTGAAGTGTCGTGGCATGTAATTGCAGCAGTGGTAAAAGCAATCTCAATGTTCAATGTTTTGAACATTGAGGTTTTGCACACCCAATTTAGGCACCTGTTTGGAGCCTCCTATGGCCACGTATAATCCCTTATTTACCAAAACTTCAGGAGAAAGTGATATTTGCATAATGAAAAGACTCAATGTCAATATCTTGGCTGCTGTTTGGCACTGCTACTGAAGCAGAAATGGGGAATGACATCTAGGTCACAGACCGCTTGTGCCTTGGCTTGTATCTGGTTTCTGTTAGGCACAGATGGGTGAAGAAAAGCACTAAGGGAAGAATACGTGGTGATTTAGAGTAGTAGGGAACAGTAGTAGGGTGATGCTGGATCAATTATAACAAGCATAGTGTGAGGAGACAGTCCTGCTTTTTGCTGTTTCCAAAGAAAAATGGTTATCTGGATGTGTGAATAAAACACAGCCAAAAAGTTCTCCAGCCATTTTACTGTGCAGTGCAAGTGCTCAACCCACAATTCATGGGTGGTCTCCACAAATGAAGTTCTCCTCAGAAGTCATATTTTCGCCCACTGAGTACCTCGGGCTGCTGCACTGTTTTGGAATAGTAATTCAAAGTTTGTGTGAACCTCTTTCAGAATGAGGCGGACGCCAAGTGGTCCGCGTTTTATGACGAGGCCTCCAGGAATGACAGCAGCTTCCCATTAGCCAGCATCCAGGATGCTCTCACCAGGCTCCAGATCCAGTCTCTGCAGGACAGAGGATCATCTGTGCTGTCACCGGAAAAATATAACAGAGTAAGTTGCTGAATAATTTGCTAATTTTTCTCGGGTGAGTTGAGCTGCTTCCCACAACACCCTCGAGTGAGGGCACAAGCCACCCTGCTTGTCTCGGGATGATGCTCCCTCCCAGCATCAGTATGGAGAGTGTACCTGTACAAGGTGTTCCAGCAGTACAGGACTGGAGGGGTGACCTGGCTTAGGAAGCTGGTTCCCATTCAGGTCAGCAGTTTTTCCATGTAATCCATGCAATGACTTCCAAACATACACACGCCTCAGAGTTGCCCTTGCACAAATGGCCGGATTAGTCATAAGAGGAAAAGAGAACCTGTGGTAAGTGCTTGGATAAGTCCAGACCTAGGGCAATGAGCAGAAGGAAATGGGTGAAGGGACGTTCAATTAGTCAAAAAGGTGGAGGTGGAGGAAGTCTTTCTTTCTCTGCACATGTCGCATTATCAAACTGTGAAAAAGAAGGGATGATTCTATGCAGCAGGCACCCTGGGATGCCTAAAATCGGGGAGGGTCGATGATCTCCTTCCACAGAAAGCTGCTGAAGGCCAGCAAGATTCGGCAAGATTCATAATGAGATTTGACATTTCCACTGACAAGTTCATGTGCAAGGCACGTATATGGATAACGGCCATATGTGGAATTGGAGTGAACAGCTATGCAGACTTAAAAGGGATTTATAACCAAACACTTGAGGGTTAAATTAGTTTCCTTTTGCTGAAGATCAAATTGAAACATAGCATTGAGTTAGGGGATCCTACCGTTCTGATTATAGAGGCATCCTGAGATGTTTCTGCTATGATCAGAAATGTTAAGCACTGTGCAAGAAAAGCAGCGAACTGATCCAAATGAGATGTGTTTCTGGAAAGACAGATTACCTTGGTGGGAATTCTGACAGTTCATACAAACTTACATTTATTTTGGAGCACAGCAGTGCACTGATGGTAATGCTGTTGCTGTTGAGGAGGTATTTTCTTCAGTATCCTCACTGTTTAGACACTTGCAGTTTCCTAGATAAATGACCTTTGGGGCTGAAATTGTTGATTCTTGCTTGAAAAGTGACTTTTTGTACAGTCTGATGGGATTCCATTGGAATATTTAAATATTCTTCACGGATACAAAAATTTCCCTGGGTGCCCACTTATTTTAAGGCTGACAGAGATAAAGTTAGAGCTAGTCATTAACTACCCCTCCCACTGACAGCTCTACATAGTTCTGATTTAAAGCTTTAAATGAGAAATAACATAGTCCTAAAGGAAAAGCTAAAAGTGGTGCATGTTCTTGAGGTATGAAAACCTGAAAACGTAAAAACCAAAATAAAACCAGAGCTATATAGCATAGCTTCCAAGATAGAGCTGAATGATTTCGGATGCATTTGGCCTTCAGCTGACCCAAGACATGAGACGTAACTTCTCTGTAATGGAGTATAAGCAGTTCTATGCAATTAGTGTGATGCGATGTTAAAAACCAGAAGTAATGGTCAGCCTGGCAGCAGCTGCAGAAGGGGCCCTTTTTGCTGCCATGCAAAACCATGACCTACCTGGAAAGTTTAAGTGGGTCCACACTTATGGAAGCGCATTGCTAAACTTTATTGTTTTATTGCTGCTGTATATTGATAGCTCTCTCATGACAGTCTTTGCTCATTAAATCCAGAGCTCTGTTTGACTGGATATTATGGATCTGTAGATTACGTCATATATTTGGGAGATTATCTGTCTTTTCCAGCTAGGTCCTGGTTCAGTAATGCATTCAGGCAAATTCTTTCATTAATCTCTACTGAGCTTAAACATATGCTTAAGTGTTAAGCTGGTGGGTGATGTTGAGTCGAGCTCTTAAGGAATTAGCATAATTGGCTGTTATTTTGCACAGAGTAGGTTTCTAATGGGCTATCTTGCATCTAACTTGCAGCTGAGCACTGTGCTAAATACAATGAGTACCATCTACAGCACCGGGACCGTCTGTAAACCCACCCAACCGTCTGAGTGTTTGGTGCTGGAGCCAGGTACGGTACTAACCACTGCCCCTACTCTGTCCTTTACTCCAAGGGTTCAAAAAGAAAAAGCCCAAGGGTGGCTCCTGACTGAAGAGAGCATGCTGTAGTTTCAATAAATATATCCTGCTATCTAAAGCTTAGTCATAATTTAATTGCACCTGGCAGTTCAGCAACCTCCAGTGGGCCTGCTGCCCACGAGACATACTGTCTCCTACTTGTAATAGATAAAATTTGGAGAGGGCTGCTCAGCTTGTGTGACAGCCTGCCCGTCACCTGGGGTTTGCCTACATCGTAGAAAGCTAATTTTTTCCTCCTGTCATCAAAGTCTTGTTGGACTCAACGTTGCATTGAGGTCAATCCCAAGAACACTACCAACTTAAAGGAAGGGTAATGCAGAGAGGGCGTTTAAGGGGCTCATGATCTGCTCTGTGTCTCTTAAAGAGAAGGGGAAAACCTTAAATAAGAAAAGGATGCAATAAAGTAATGGAAAATTTCAGTATATCAAACACAAAGTGTTTTCTTCATAGTTCATGAAATTTCTTTTGCTTTGGCTTATTTGTTTGCTTTTTCAAGGCCTAGTACTTATTTTTTTTTTGTTCTAACAGGTCTGGACATTATTATGGCTAACAGCACAGATTATGATGAGAGACTGTGGGCCTGGGAAGGCTGGAGAGCTAATGTTGGCAGGATGATGAGACCGTTATATGAAGAGTATGTTGAACTTAAAAATGAGATTGCAAAGCTTAATAGTAAGTCACAACTTTTTTTTTTTTTCTTTCTTTTTTTCTGGCTTCCTGAAATTAACAAGCATACTGCAGTCTTGCACAATTTGCACAGAAATTCAAACCCCATACTTTTTTACACATCGATGAGCAGCACTTTGAACATAATTTGCTCTTGGTGTACATTTTACAAAGTGAGAGGCAATGCAGACAGGTGCCATTCAGCAGATCAGAGGTCTGTCACCAGCCTGGAACAAAAGGGGGATGTCTTTGTTGGGGCCTTTCCCAAATGCCATAATGTATCAGTGCCCTTCATTACATACTACCTTACCCAGAACTGCACTACTTGTGATTTATTGGCAAGCGCACTCAATTTAAACAATTTCTGAGTGCTGTTGAGTCTTGGTGACGTCTCTTCTTTTCTACCTGCCTTGACCTTCGTGCACCAGCCACAAGCAGTGGTACCTTTATAAGCATTATGCCCTAACCAGAATGACCACATTTGGTAGGCCTGGGCCAGCAGATGCAGCCAGGTGCTTAAAGAGGATTTTGTGCTAAAGGAAGTGTGCTTCCAGTCAGAGATCTCCACACAAATCATAGGGAACTGTCTTTTCAAGGAACAATGTCAGGTGGCTGCTAATTTTCTTTGGGGGTCTTCTAAAATAGCTTCTAAAGTAGCTACATCATCTGTCTCTTGGCCAAACCGCAGCTGTATCACCTGCTTTCCTATACTCCTTGTTTTGTGAAAATTGTCAAGCTGGAGCTAGGCACCAGGAATTATAGTCATTACAGTCATTATAGTCCAAATAGTTAGACAGAAGAATGAAACATTAAGAAATGGTCATTATGACTTTCCTCCATACCACTAAGGAAGAGACCTCAGCTGTGCAACATTTCTACTCCAGGCTTGATGGAGCTCATTGAACTGGAAGACTTAGTGGAACTGGGAGCTAAGTTTCAGTCCTCATGTCTACACCTGCCCTGATGGTTTATTCAATGTTCACCAGCTTATACCTTCTGTGAGAACCCCTTACTATCCAGCCTGAGCAGAGGCTGCCCTCCCTCATAGCTGCAGGAGCCCCAGTCAGGAGTGGTGATTTCCTTTGATCTCTGTCTCCAGCTGGAATGACCCTAATTAGCAGATAACCATGACTGTAATTTCTGCATTTCTTGGAAATCTCCCGTACCTGCACATTTATGGGATAGAGCCTCGTGGGAGCACTTTCCTCCTCCCTAGACCCGCAGCATCTCATGCTTTGCTTCTTTGGTCTGGGGGAAAGGCTGCAGGTCTGCATGGGATCAGCAGGGAGCTGCACTGCTCCTGCAGACCAGAGCAGTGCCATCTGTGGTATCCTCACGTGATGCATCTGTGCTTTACAGATTATTCTGACTATGGAGATTACTGGAGAGCAAATTATGAAGCAGACTATCCAGAAGAATACAAATACAACCGTGACCAGCTGGTTGAAGATGTAGAGAAGACATTTGAGCAGGTAGAGACAGGAAAAAGCTCTGACCTGGGCCACAGGGTTGTGTTTTGTGATGGTGGGCTCACATGCTGATGTTGCGAAGACAAGACCTGCTCTGAAATGGCTAATCTCAGTCTACATGGGGTTAACAGACATTGGGAGACATACATGACATTTTTACCTCTGCAGCCATTCTAGGACCAGTTTGGTCCCCTCAGGCTGCACTGTGCCAAAGGCTGGGAAAGAGGGAGCTCTGCAGATCCATGTCTCTCCTCCAGGTAGGGCCCGTGGGGAGAGGTATGTTTCCCATGGAGTAGATGGCATCCTTAATACTCTACTTCTTAGGTTAGCAGTGCTCCCTCCCTTGTACCTGAGCAAGACTTCTGGCACTAGGATCTGGACTCATCACTTGAGTCCTGAGGCAGGGAGCAAAGCTCACTGCAGGTTTGGGGTGCACTTACCCACCAGGAGAATTTAACACCTTCAAGGCTCTCTGTTTAGGAGGGATGAGTGGCATAGAGCAAAGACAAAATGATTTCTTTCCTTCTCCTCCTCTGCCTCCAGATAAAACCTCTGTATCAGCAGCTGCATGCCTATGTGAGGCACCGGCTGGAGCAGTTCTATGGCCCCGATCTCATCAGCTCCACGGGATGCCTCCCTGCTCACTTGCTGGGTATGTCAACGTGGCCATGTTGTGCAAGCCTGACTTTGTACATAGGACAGTCACCTTCAAGGCACATGGGAACAGAGTAATCTGCCTGTTTAATCAGGATATTAACAAACAGGTTACAGATAAGAGAAGGGGAGAGGAGAAATGGAGAAGTCCTTGGCAGAGATGACACAGGTGCTTAGCAGCAGAGGCAGGTAGGGAAGGCAGGTGTCCTCATCCTTGCCAGAGCTGGTGGCACCCAGCTCAGAACTCCAGCACTGGGCTGGGACATTTCCCTTCTCTTTGCAGCACTTTTCTTCCTTAGAAATGAGAGTTTGAGAAACTTGTTTTTCCTTTAAAATCTTATCCTAAGCTCCCACATTTCATGACTTTGCTTTTCAAGCATGGAACATCAAGCTGCTGTAACTGTAATGTACACGAACACAGTAGCAGCAATCACATGGACTAACAACATGGATGTTCAGTTGTGAATAGACCTTTAGCAAGGTGATCAGTCCTGAAACTGTATTGTGCAAGAATAGCTGATCTTGGGGAATGAAAGGATCTTTGATCTGAGTTTGACCTGTGCATGACTCCCCAGAACTGCTCCCCTCCACATCTGGATCAGAGCTGTTTAGATGTATAGGAGTCCCTGTTTCTGACACTGCACAATTTATAGAACTGTATGGCACTTTTGAACAATACATAATCAATCATTTAAAGTACTTATGTTTCTCTCGTTTTTGAAGGTGATATGTGGGGTAGATTTTGGACAAATCTGTATGCCTTGACCGTTCCCTATCCAGCCAAACCAAACATTGATGTAACTTCTGCAATGGTTCAAAAGGTAAGACATGCCTTTATGCAGTATGCAAAATCTAGATGGTATAAAAATCACATACCATGTCAGCTGCTCCCTAGAAAACCATAGCTGCCCTAAGGCAGACACACCACCAGCAAAGCATTGCTTTCTGCATCCTTTTTTGCTCTTCACCTTAAAGTGTTCATGCAATTCCCACTGTACCTTTTCCCTTAGCTGTTCTCCTCTCTTTCTTCTCCACCCCCTTTGAATGGCTTAATCTTGGCTCCAAGTCTATTTTCTGCAGAGACACTTATCCATTAGGAGATATATTCTGTACATATAAATATTTCAGGACTCATGGAATTGGCTGGTATCAAATATGGCCTTTGCCAGCCATTACCATAATCAAATAGTTTGTATATCGCAGGGTGGGTTCGTTTTTTTTTGTTTGGGTTTTTTTGTTTGTTTGTTTGTTTTTTGTTGCCAGTCTTGTTTATTTGGATACAGCTAGGAAACTGCAAGGCTGCCTGTTACCTTTTGATAACTGCATAACACCATGAGGTCTGTGTTTGAGATCTGTAGTGCTAACAGCCATGGCAGCACCTTTACCAGACTGAGAACATGGGTGGAGATGGCTCTCTATAGTCTTGCCTAAGCTTCACTCCTTTTACAAAATAAAAGGTAATTGGTGTAATTTGATTTCTGAAATGTGATTATTCACCTGAAATCTACCCTCCTCTCATAAGGAGTACTCCATGCAAATGTTATGCTGGCAAGAGAAGGAATAGCTAAATTTGATTCATAAGTGGTTTGCACAAGTCTGCATTAATCTCACCTCTCTTTTACAGTACTGACTCCCTAGTAGTCATAAATTTGTGTATATTGAAGTAACATCGTGAGGAGGGAGGCATTACTCACAGAGCCTTGGGGCAAAGGCTGGACTCACCCTTGCTGGTGGATGTGCCCAGTTTAGGGTTTTCATCCAACTGAGCTGTCTGCCACCTAAATCTCTGAGAAAACTCAGTCCAGTAAATGCAGAGCTCCTGCTATGCAGAATAATAAAACTACTGAATGACAAAAACATTCTGTACATTAACACGCAGTTAAAATCTAATAAGCAACTCCTCTAGATACATTTGCCAGGTTTTATGGTTCTGGCTGAGATCTCCTCTCATGCTCATCTGCTGGGAGTGCGGCTCCACTCCCTCAAATGAGTTGTCCCCAGCTGAAGTGGCTGAAGGGTCTGATCCCAGATCTG